TGAACCACCTTGATAAAAATAATAATCTGGTTGATTGATATAAACAGTACGTTCACGAAGTATTTTAAAATAATTTGCTTGTAAAATATTTTGTCGATATATACTATCATCATTATTACGATGATGTGTATGAGTAGTTGATGCACACGAATATCCACCATATGGTCCATCAGTTTCAACCATTATTAAACCAGTATGATCCATAAATGTTAATGTACGATTTAATAAATAATCATACCAATCAGATGCAAAACATGCACTATCACGTGGCTTACCAGTATTTGGATCAATAGCCATCCATGATGGTTGAACTTGTCGTGATAATGCAATTAAATCATAACCACCAACTTCAATGCCTTTACTATTTGCATATGCAATATCACTAGTTATTTGTTCTATATATTTTTCATCATCTGATTCCATATTGAAACCTGAACCAAATGAATAAATAAGCATTTCAAAACCAACTTCTACCATTTGATCAATAACACCACGAATTGCTGATGAACTACCATTAATCATATGGAAAAATATTGGATTTTCTTGTGTATGTGGTGCTAATAAACGAAGAAGACGATGTTTAGATAAAGCAACACGTTCAACATCTGATGAGCTAATAACAAGTTCATGAACACGAAATGATGATAATTGTGTTACAAGTGGAACAATTAGTTGATGATCTGTTTGATATGTACAATTAAGTAATGGTGGAAACGAACCTGGAATTGTATTTATTTCAATATCATATGTCCATAAAATATTTGTACCATGACCAGGTGGTTGATCATCTTCAACGTATAACCATGATTGACCAAAAGGTGACCATGGTTGATTAACAGCTAAGAGTTCAACTGAATTAAATGATAAATCAATATCACCACGTCCACTTGTATCAATAATATCAAGCCATTTTACAATTAATGGTATACCATCATACATTTCATAATTGATAATAACAGTAACGTATTTATGTGATAATGGCGCATAATAAGGTGCTTTAAAATAGACACTTAGATGAATACCTTTCGGTGGCCATTCGATATCAACTGGAGCAAATCGTTTTGGTGTATAAGCAAAGGGAGCTTTAGGTTTTCCAACTTCATATGTTGAAAAATGAAATGCTTTTGTATCAATTGCTTTATTTTTCCAAAAATCAGTTCGATTGAAATAAGCACATTGTGTATTTGGTATAACTCCACCTATATTATATTCAATACCATCAAGTGTTATTACACTTTCAGGTTTAACACATCGTAATAAACTTGAATTTGTTGTATGTAAATCACGAAAATCAATTGTAGCAAAATCAGGTTCAATTAAAAATTCTCGACTGATTAAACTATTTGAAAGAAGTAATGTACCCAATGGCGTTTTTGTAAGTGTTGTTACATCACTAATTTTATCAATCAACCAATCTCTTGCTGAATTAATATTTATTAAGAATAAGATATACCAACCACAATAATAATAAAATTTCATCACTTTGTAAATTGTAACAAAAAACTTTTTTCTTTAATGCGTAGAGCACGATATCTACTTTGTCTTGACACGTGTTACTTTTTCTTCTTATTCTTTACATATGATACTCCACACACTGTCGAGAACAATTACTTATTACAACTTACCAAGAGGTAAATGAGCTCCTCCGATCAAATATATGTTGCGATGACGAAATTATGCGGACTGGTGGTAACACTAGTCTGCCAGAGCAACACTTTTATTTTATTAAAACGAAAAAGAATAAAAAAATATTATAATAAATGCACACCATAATTTATGTAATATCTTATTTGGCTCTTGCATAATAGCCATCATCGATAATGTCTACACGACTATTTCGTAAGTTACATTACTTTTATACAATTCTAAATTTTAATGTTGAATTTCTCTATTTAGTTATCGCTTTTCGACTTAGATCAAAGTGTAGTTTATTCTCCAGTCTTTTTTCTTTTGCAAAGATATAGAATAAGATAATAAAAAAAAAGTGCAAACATCAGTGTGATATCACATTTTCAATTTCAAAAAGAAAAGTATGTATGTCAAAGTCTGAGTGAGATATTTGCGATTTCGATAATAACTTATAGATAACATTAAAATGCATCTCTTGCAGAACTAATATAATCTTTTATTAGATACAAATACACAAAATCACTAGATTATGGTTCGCATATAGATTTATTAAATTTAAATTGTTTTGTATTTCCACATTGTTGTATAACTGCACACATAAATGGATTAATATAATGACATTGTAGAAAATTATATTTTGATGGACATGTTATTGCTTGTTGTAAACCTTCTTGTTTATCACTCCATGATACAACATCACGATCATGATAGATATTAAAGATTTTTTTATGTATATCAGCCATAGGAATATTTTTTGTTTCATCCATTTTTGCGTGACTATATGTTATACCTGGACCACTAACAGAAACAACAACTGACGTCTCATTTAATAAAGCAGCTCCAGCTAATTTTGCTAAACCACCACCAAGTCTTGAAGATAAAAAAAAAGAATGATTCTTTAGCTTACAAAAAAATTTCAATTCATAAAACTTACGAATGTCCAACGAGAATAAATGATCGTTTATGTCGATATAATTGACGTATTCGTTTTAATTTAGGAACAATTTGTTGTAGATAAAAACGTTTTTTATTGAATTGTTTTAAATTAACATTAACTAAACGTTCCAAAATAGATAAATGTTTTATAATACGCGCTGTCATATATTCTGGAAACAGTTTTGACCATGGAAATAATATTGATAATATTTGATATAGAAATGCTTCATTCCATGTATCAAAATCTATTAACCATTCGTACAATAATTTTGTGCCTATAAAAAGAAACTTAGCTATAGAATATCAGAGATATCGAAGATCATTTACCTCTTATACTGACAACAACAGCATTTTTTGTTACTAATGTAAAATAAGTAACATTTCCATAACCATGTGCTTGAAATTGACTATTTTGAATATCAATAAACATTGTTTTTGTTTGATTTGATTCAATTGGATAGAAATGATTAATTTCATTTTGTAATAGATCAGTTGGTTGATATGCTAATGCAGCAAATAAAATCATATCTTCAATTGTAAAATCTTCAAAATGCCAATTACATGCTTCCATTCGATCAGAATTTCTATCTATTTTTAAAGTATCATTCCCATATAAGGATGTTGTATCTTGAAAGTTCGAACTTTTCTCAACTTCTTTATTATTTAAATAAAACATTGATGATGCTAATGTAAGACCAGCAAAAGCTATTAATGCAAGTATAAGAAAAATCATATAATATGCATTAACATATAATGATATTGAATGATGACATTCAATCCATTCAATAAGACCCGGTACAAGTAAATTTCGTTGATTTCGATGTTTTTTAATAATAAGATGCCAAACATCACGTATTATATGATAAACATAAAAAATAAATAGAAGAATCGCATAAATAAATGGAGGTAAAATACATATAGCCATTATTAATTGATTTCCAACTTTACTTTTAATTAAAACTATTATTCCAATAATTAATAGAATAAAAATACATATAAGTAACATTTGTATAAGATTCATTTGTATACGAAGTATATTAAAACGTGCTATGAATGGTGGTAATAATAGGATTAATTCTACAGATGCTAAGATTATAAGAAGACATATTTGAAATACACGTTCTTTAAATGAAAGATCATTGAATGATCGTTGTAAAACAAATACAAGTGATGTAAGCATGATGCATTGAAGAACAAGTATAAATACTTTATAAGTAAATACACGAGTAAGACGTGTTATGATTTCCGAACTAGAATTATATACTTCTTTGATTCAAAATGTAATTTTAAATAACTTACTCAAAATATCGATCGAGTGGTCCTTTAAAAAAGACCGAACAAATATTTACACAATAGAAATGTTTCGTATCATTCAGACGTATTGTAGATGATACTGTTTCTATATATTAAAAATAATTAAAATAACGAATTTATCAAGTTTTATTTTACCAGGCCTAGTTCTATCATTTGTATCTTCATGAGCTGGTGGTGGTTCATTATCCTGATCTTGAACTGCAGCTGGTACCCATGTTTGATGAAATACAAATGTCCATATAATAAAAGCTAATATACCAATAAGGACATTTACAAAAATACCAATACATTGAAATGCAATTGGTATAATTATCAACATCAAAATAATAATTAAACCAGATAAATTTGATGTCGGATGAAATTTTAATGGTTTCATTGCCTTACTTGTTTTTGTCCAATTTGAATAAACAGTTAAACCAACATATATTGCTAAACCAAGTAAATGAAGTACTAATATAAAAGAACGAAAAGCTTTTAAGAAGAAAACAATTTAGTAATATTACCATGTAAACCCCACATAAGTGCTAACGGTACTTGTCCAGATGGAACGATTAAACAATTAAGTAAATCTCTACTTGCATAATAGATAATATAACCTATAGATGATAAGCTAACAAATAATCTATATAATTGTTTAACATTAATATGAAAAAATAAGATTTCATTATCAATAAAAAATAATAGAGCATTTGTTCGATGATCAGATTTTTTATTTCCTAGACAAAAAAAAGAAAAACAATATTTAATTTTCAAAATAGAAATTAAATATACGTAATGTAGTTGTAAAACAATGACAACCAATTTGTAAAACAAACCAAAAATAATGTGCTGAAAATGCAACAATACCAGGAATCATTGAATAACTTCCTAGGAATGAAAATATATTTGATGATGATAATTCATCGGGTTTTGATGATGCCGAAAATGAAAATGGTATAAATAATAATTGTAGAATGAAATTTAATGCTGTACCTAACCACATGACAGCTGCTTGACATATAAATGTAAATGCAAGTATACGAGCAAAAAGACAATCCGAGAATAAATAAAAAAATATTCTTATTATTCTATTAAAAGATGATGGACTTTTTGAACGATTAATATTTGTTGAATCGTCAATATTAATAATTTCACTATTTAATGGTTCAGATACTGACATAGGCTGTTGATCCGACATGGAAGTTAGTTCTGTATTATTATTATATGATGTGAAGAAAAGAAAGAAGAAGAAGAAGACTGCTTCTATTATATTTTTGTTGCCATTCTGTGTGGCACAAAGAAAAAGAACTCATGGCATACGAGTTTTTTTCGGAATAGAAAGCCAACAAATACTAGTAATTCCTCTTTTTTTCTGTCTATGATTCATTTACATATTCAATTCCCATGATAAAATCAATAAGGCATCTAGTATTTCCTTTTTAGAACAAAAACTTGCAGTAGTAATAAACTTCAAAATACAAATGATAAAAGTATTATTTTTTGCTAATTTTATGAATTATGAATACAATATAATAATGAAGATATTATTTTTATAATAAAAAAATAGCTGTAGAGATCGCCCTATGACAAAGATAGTAGTCATATTATTTGCTATCATACGATAATTATTTTTTCTATATGTGAATTAGTAATCAATACTTTAACCAGGTTACTCATAACAATTTGATACGAACGTTTCAAAACGTTAAGCACGAACGATTCATTGTGGGAAAATCATTTCGCTTTTATATAATCAATTAAATCTATTGAAGCATATAGGAATAAAAAATGATTGATAGGACATATCATCACAGAGAGAAAATTTTAGGCTAAAATTACGTTGATGTATATATCTAAATAAACCTTCAACTTTATTTCCGAAGAGAGAAACACGTGATATGAAGTACAATAATTACAATCTCCGTGAAGAGATTGTCCTTTTTAAAAAGGACATGACCCTTTTCCTTTTCCCCCTCCTTTTCGATATAGTATCAAACAAGGAGAGTTACAATCTAATAACAAGACATCTCAAGTTCATGTCAATTTCTATGGTAACAGTTTCGACAAAAATTCTTGTATTATTTAGTTTTGACAATTATATTTAACAATTGTCAAATTACTTCAATCACTGTTGTTTTTGTTTCTTCGCATCAATTCTTTTCTCTTAAAATTTCACATAAAAACGAGCGAAACTTCTCTTCCATTACGAAACAATTACGTGTCATTCTATAATTTTTTCCTCGTCAATAACGAACTTATTTATAATGATTTTTTCTCTATATATATAACCGAGCTAAATTTAATTGGTTCATAAAAGAAAATATTATTTTCGTTTCATCAATGATTGGTCAGGAAAACGTTTTTTTTTCCTCTTCAATTTCTATTTGTATGCAATCGATAATGATGTTGATGGTTGAATAGTAGTGACACAAAATGATGACACCCATCAAACAAGCGAAACATACATATACAAACGAAAATGAAGATTGCATCTTTCGATCATCTATGTCGGCGACATGCGAGAAATTTGAAAATGAGTATGTATACTTCTCTATCATTTGGTTAGGTAAATTGTCTTTTTCTTTAGATTTAATACGCGTGAAACTCACATTTCGCACTTTATATAAAAAAAGGGCCGATCTATAAACAGGTTGTTAACTGTCAAATACGACATTTCATTTCTTTTCAATTTTTTCTTCCTTGTATATATCTATCGTCAATCCGCATCTATTAATACATACGAGTGACATAGAAGCCGATTTAAGCGAATAAATAAAGGCCGGAAAACGTGTAAAATATAAGCAAATTATCTTTTGACGTATACGTTATGCTTTCAAATACGAATACAATCACCGAAACAATGGATCGGGTGATAAATTCACCTACATCTTGGCCTCAATCATCATCGAATATGATCTATCATCCACAATGTTTAAGTTATGAAGGTAAACTCATATGATTTATAATTTCGAAGAAAAACATTTAAAGATTTTTTCAAAATAAGGACAAGGTCGTATTAATCAATTGGGTGGAGTATTTATTAATGGACGTCCATTACCTAATCATCTTCGGATGAAAATTATCGATATGGCTGCACAAGGTATACGACCTTGTGTTATTAGTCGACAGGTATTAAAAGATTGATTTATTTTTATAATTATTATAGTTTTTTTAAGTTACGTATTTCACATGGATGTGTATCAAAAATCTTATCACGTTATGCTGAAACAGGTTCAATCAAACCCGGTTCAATTGGTGGTTCAAAACCGAGAATTTTACCCGTTAATATCGAACAAAAAATTGATGAATATAAAAATACATATCCACATGGTCCTATGTTAGTATGGGAAATACGTGAAAGATTAGTTCGTGATGGTGTTTGTAAACCAACATCATTACCAAGTTTAAGTACATTAACACGAATGTTACGTGATAATAACGATGAAGAATCGACGGATGAAAAAAATAATACGGAAAAAATAACAAAAAATCGTCGTTATCGTACGAGTTTTAGTCAAGATCAAATTGAACAATTAGAACAAGTTTTTCAACGAACACACTATCCTGATGTTCAAGCTAGAGAAGAATTATCAAGACGTACAGGATTAACTGAAGCACGTGTTCAGGTATATTAAAATTTTGGATTTTTTTTGTAAAATGTTTTTTTTTTCAATATAAAGGTATGGTTTTCAAATCGTCGAGCACGTTGGAGAAAAATTGCTTCTGTTCATCAACAACAACAATTACCAGCTAGTGCTAGTCCACTTATATTTCCTAATGGACCTACAGCAACAAGTAGTTCGACTATGCCAGGAACATCAACATCATCTTCTCGTCTTCATTTTACTCCATTTTGTTTACCTACACTTGAAACACCATCAGCATCAGGTACTGAATCAATATTTCAACCATCAAATGAATGTAGTAGTAATGGTAATACAAATAATCCTGCAAATTTATTTACTAATCAACAATCACCATTCTATGCTCGATATACAAATGGTTTGTCTATTGAAAAAAAAATCTTTTCATTATTATTCTTATTATATTGAATATTTAGATTACGAACAAATATATCGATCAACAGCAACATTTCCATATCCACCTTCTAATGTATCTGCACCAGTCTTTCCACCATCAACATCAAATCCATCATCATCATTTTATACACCAAATATGTTTGATGTTCACAATGTGTATTTGTAAACTTTATTAATTATGAGGATATGATCCCAATGAGTAGTGTATATTGAATGGGATGGCTTTATCTCTTGTTTTTTGAGTCATTTAAATAAATAACTAAAGATCCGTTTAAAAGTCATACAATATCTTCTGTTTGTTTTTCTTGTGAGATATAAATTAGTTGAGGCTTTATTTTAATTCATAGTCTCTTGAATGAATAACTGTTAGTAAAATTTAAAATTGATCTATTCAGTGCTATCGAATCTAACATCTCTGTCATTGAAAAAATGTATATGATAATTATCAATTTCGATATGAAAAGATGTATGAACTCGATCAATAGAAGAGTGTAAAAGTTAATATCAAATTTTCAAAAATAAGTCTTCTTGTTTTGAATCATATTTAAAATGCTATTTTTTTGTGTTTTTAATTTACTCGATACTACCCTAACTATATTTATCATAGACTAAAGTTGTGGAATGTTAATTTAGTTTGTTTACAAGCTATGCTAGGCATGATATACATATCATATGCACTCATCTTATTTATAATTAAAAATATTGCTATACATAATAACATTTACTCATTTCATAATCAAATATGTTTTTCTCAAAACATTAACAGTTTGTATCGTTATACGTGCTACTTCCTATATTCACATATTATTCAGCAATTATTTATTTGATGAAAAAAAACACATCAATAATTGAAAATGTAAGAAAGTTATATTTTTAGAATTCACTCTAGTCTAACGTATTCTATATTTCGTATATTAAACAACAGTTTATTGTTCATATATATATATATATTTGTATAGTAGTATTCATGATTAACCATTATAATAATTAATTTATACTAAATATAACACTATTGTTCACTTGTTATATTTATTTAATTAAAAATTTCAATTTTATTTTCTTACTAGCATTAATCATAATAATGAAATTTAAACATGAGCCATAGAAGGAATGAAAAGACAGGGGTGTGACGGGACGGCGTGTCGTCACCTGTGTGATCATGTTCTCGTCGTCTTATGTTTTGTCATGCTCTCTCTCCCTCTCTTCTCTTTTTCTTAATTGATCATTTTGACACTCTTCGTTATTATGTGTACTATTTATATATTGGCTCTTGATTAGTATACGCTTATAATATAGATTATTATTTTATACGAGTTTATTAATTGTATTGATACAGAGTACATAAATATCGATTTCTCTTTCTTTATTAATGTTGATTATATAACATTGAGTTGATCGTACATCATAAATATATTTGAGAGATATACAATTATGTAGTGATTGAAGATTGTTTATTGTACAGTGTAAAAAAATCAATTTATTAAGGGGGCCCTCCCCTCAGAAAATATTTTCCATACGGCTGATCCTTTCGGGCTGAAATTTTCAGGGATGAGTGATCCTGGTGAGAAACGCTTCTAGTAAAATTGTCAGCTTTATAGGTCTTACCAGATCGGATCTCCAGCGATTCAAAGTGGTTTTTGGCCTTCGGGAAAACCGAAATAGCCTTTTTTCTACAAAAGATATAAGGATTCGGAATGGGTAAAATTATAGCCAATATCAGTGCACAGTTTTTGTCTGAACGGAATTTTGAAATTCCGTATTGTTCATTTTTTATGACGAAATTACGATTCTTTTTCAAAAAATTCGATTTTCTGAGGGGGAGGGCCCCCTTAATGAACTTCTTTTAAGTCTCATAGAATAAACAATAGTTAGATCGTAGATTTTATCATTTAGATTCCTGTTAGATGAAACTGGCATGTTTCAATATTAATAAATACAAAATTTATTTTTACAAATATAAAGAAAAAACAAAATTCCAGTCACAATCAATAATATGATATTTTGTTTTTAATTAAAAACACATATATATCTTTAGAATTTTTTATTTAATTTTTATTGATTGATTGCAATGTTTCACGCCAAAAATCTTCTGATATTGCACTTTCACGTTGCATATGATCGACAACTAAAAAAATAAAATATTGAAAAAGAGTTTTTTTTTCATAAAATATTTTTAATTACTGTTGAATTCATGATCAAAATGATCATTAGTTGTGTCTATAACATCAAATGATCGTTTTACTTTGTGAGTTACTTTAAAAGAAAAAGAAAAAAATATATATATACAGGATGTCCTAAAAGCCCGGTCCATTTAAGAAATGGGTTTAACTCTATTACTATACAAGCTTAGTCTAATCTTTTTTTTTTATTTGATTGGGGCGAGCATTTTTTTAGACTGAGATGTGTGCGAAATAAAATTGTTGTAAACAGTTGGTTGTCTTCGACTTTTACAAAAAAAGATTAGACTAAACTTGCATAGTAATGGAGTGAAACGCATTTCTTTAGTGCACATGACTTTCGTGACACCCTGTATATTTGATTATAACAACTTTATGAGAGATAATTACTAGGTGCGTGATTTTTAGATCCTTTTCGATGACGTTTAATAAAACGTAGTGTAGAACTAATAAGACAAAATAACGTATTAAATGGTGGTGGTAATAAAGATTTATGTCGAAATTCATTGACAACTAAAAAACGTTGATAACGCCATAGATCATGAGATTCATGTTGAACATTTTCAATGGTAACACTAATAAAAATTAAATTAATCAATATATTAAGAAAAATATGCTTACTTAAATAAAGCAACAAGAACATTTAGAAGTAATACATTAGATATAGTAACAAAAAGAATAGCCAAAACAAAAGCTACTGCTTGATATGAATTTGTCGTTTCTAAAGAATAAAATATACATTTATTTTGAATCAAAAGTATAATAATTTAGTTCTGCGTGAGCTTAAACGGTTTTATACTAAGACATAAAGAAATTATGTATATCGGAGATTTTTCTCTTTCGGACGATGATAAACACATCGCATGTGTTATAGTAAGTGCAAATTTCAAATAATCAAAAAAAAAATATATATACCAACTAAATCAACTTGTCCAAAGACTTTCCAAACTCCATAATTAGTTACATCTCGTAATAATTTCCAACCCCATGTATTTGTATTATTATAAGTAATCAATACATCCACTAATTTTCCATTAGTATCATAGATCCATTGAACTTGAGATGTTGTTATTAATAATGACCATGATGTTATTGAGAAACCAAAGAGAAATATAAGAATAAAACATACGAAAAAAAGTAAATCTTTCATCTGGAAAAATTAAAATCAATTAGTGTAAGAAAAATCAAAGAAATAAGAAACTAACTGTATTAAAGATCATGATTAATTTCGGACCCAGTTTTTCGTAAGCTGCAAATAAATGAAGTATCCTTACATACCATAGAATAAGATCAAGACACAAAATAATTCTATAAATACAAAAAAATTTTATTTTGTAATTTTTCAAATTGAACGTACTTTGATATCATAAAATATTCTTCTATAACAATAAATCGTGTCATAAATCCAATTAAATAAAGAATAATAGCAGTCATATCAATTAAATTAGACATTTCATTGAGATATTCGACAAAGGAATTTGTAAAAGTAAACTAAAAGGGAAATTTTATTTTATTTGATTTCATATTAAATTTTGCTTACTTGACGCATTTCTTCTATAATTATTCCCCATATACAAACATGCAGCCATATTTCTGGAATTGGTATTGGTAAACCAGTAACACTCGAATGATAACCATGATATATATTTAAAGGAAAAAAATCCACAAGTAAAACATAACTGAATAAACCAAGGAAAATAAAGAAAAATATCTAAATTTTTCGAAATAAAAAATTTTATACAATAATTTTTATTGAAATCGATATGGTTTACACATACAAGATTATAGTAAAATCTTACAATTGGTGCTCGATAGAAAAACAATAACTTTTGAGTCCATCGAATATTTACAGTGCTATTAAAATAGAAGATAAAGAAATATAAAGAAAAAGTAACGCTCTTTCTCGTAGAAATGCATCCTCTTCACATTTACTGAAAAATCGGTTTCCGATGTTTTTTTGACCTTTACCCCCTTGGTCACCCAACGGATTTTAGATTCGAACCCCTCGCATCGAAAAACCTCTAGAAATGTCTTTTTCGAAAAATCAGTTTTTTCGATGTTTTTTTGACCCTGCGGATACACAAGCAATCAAACAAACAATTTATGTTTATTGGACTCTTCTCTACGAGAAAGAGAATAGATTTAAATACTTCGGAACAGTGTAACTTGAGGAAGCAGTAGAAAATTTTGTACGAGAAGTCATATTTGGATTAAACTAAAAATAATCAAAAATATATTTCATATTATTCGCGTATATAAAAAAAAATACTAACCGGTACATGTCTTTGTAAATAAGGTAAAATACCAAAAAAGATGGGTAATAATGGAAGAAATAATGAACAAAAAAAGATCTAAAATGAAAACGGATGAATATTTCAAAAATAGTATAAAAATATTTCATTACTCGAGTATTAATATGTTGTCGTTTATAATTAATATTGCCATACCTAAATAAATTCATGTAATATAGAAGAAATTATTAAGATATTTGGTATTACCATTCGTTATCGAGATATTTTTGTACACATCTCGAAGCTAGGAAAGCTCGACAATCACCTTTTAAAGCTAATTGAAGTGGATTTTGATTATAAAATGCAACTGCAGGTCTTCTTAATATATTAATAGCAAAATCTCGATCAACATCAAAACATCGATCAATAATTGTTGCAGCAAATTTATCAAATTTTCTATTATGAATTCCATAGAAATAATATATATATACTAAATTCAAATATTACTTTGCATTCGTTTCATATTGACATTTACTTTCGGAATCAGGTGTCATTGTTGCTGCTTTTTTATATAACCTTGCACCAAATAATGGTGCAACAGCTTGATTCTAATACAATTCTAGTTTTTAAAAGAAATTTTATTAGAAAAATCTTACCCATGTTTTTGAACAAAGATAAACAGCAAATTCGAATCGATCAAGAAAAATTGCCCAAATAAATAGATCACGAGTTGCATGTTCTCCCAAAGGTACATTCTTATCCGTACATGTCTAATGAAAATATGGAAATTATTTATTTGATGAACATATTCAATTTTCGATGTTAACCTCCAATCGAACTTTCATATATTCTAAATAGAATTCTTCTCTTGTTGGTGTTTCATATCTTGTCTTTTTTAATGGTAATACTTTATCTATCTATAAGAAAATACTATTCTAATTTTAATCAATAAAAATAAACATACAGATGCTGTTGAATATAGATACTCTAGATCACCCAGAGTTAATTTAGGAAAAGTAGTACCAAATTCATTAAAAAGTTCAATAAAACCAATATAACCACGACGAATAGCATCGACTAAACCTAAACGAACATCTTCTTTTGTCCATTTAGTTATACTAAATTCTGTAAATATAGCTTGACGAGCATATTCAACTTTATTCCAAGCCTGAAATCAAAAATTCGTCTTTCAATATTATCAATATGCGAAAAGAAAATTTACTAAAGCTAATTTTAATTCAGCTGCCGAACGATGTTGTTCATTTGATTCATTAGAAAATTTTGCAGCTAAAATTAAATTCATATATACATATTTTTTCATATTTTATAAATAACGAACCATTAAATACAGCTTCAAGTATTGCATCTTCAAGTTTACTCATATGTCGTGTATTATCAAAACAATATATAGTTATAAGTTGTTTACGATCATTTAATAAACGACATAGATCATCTCTGAGATCATCTATCCATGGATTATGAATTCGAAATTTTGCAAATCTAAATTGAATACACATATATATATATACGTAATAATATTATTTCTCTTAAAAAATTTACGTAGCATTTATTTCTGTTACACGTAGACTAGCTTTAGCAAAACTTGATGATCGACGTCTGTTAAAGTGCAGATCTTTCGTTTCACTTTTAACAACATGTGTATGATTAATTAATTCTGTAGAAAAAATTCTAATTAAATCAACGATAAGATCAGCACCACGACCAGAATCCTTAAGAAAAAAAGAACTAGACATGGTTCGATAATATTTTATGAAGATGTTTTACTTTAACAACTACAACTGGAGTATTGGATAGTAATGCTTCACATACACATTGAATAGCTGATCGACCACCTTCAACTAAAACCATAACAATTGGTATTAATGCATCTACAGTATCGTCGGATGCATTTTTTTTCTTAATATGTCTTGAAAACATTTCAATATCAGCTCGTAATGGAAGAATATGTTCAGGTCTGTCTGTTCCATCATCCAATAACAGAAAATGAGTATGATTTGGTTCCAAAGCACATCGTTTTTCTTCTTTTTCTTTAACTACATAATTACACATACCATATGCTGCTTGTCCTGTCTGTAAATAGTCGTAAAAAAATTTAAATAAATACATATAAATATCTTTTTTTTTTATATCTTACAAAGTGAAGTGAATTAATACCAAAATTAAATGCTGGTTTTTTTGATAACCAACTTCCTTTTGAAACAGCCGAAGTCACGCTCGTTTGTGATAATAAAGGATCAAGTTGATTTTTTCCTGCTGTATAACCCCAACTTGCAATACCAATACAAGGTATTTCAAGGCCATCTTTTTGATTTTTATAACGATATTTATTCAATGCTCCTCCAACTTCTGTAACAACACCAGCATTTGTTCCAGCTGTAATTATCCATGCATCTATAGAGAGAATTTATTTTGTATCAAAAATAAAAAATTTCAATTTACTTGTTGTTGCAGCAGCAGAAAGTAAACCAAGTTGAAATGCTAGTCGAAGACGAGCTGGAAGCTCGAAATGTTTTGCACCACCAGTTACTGAAATGATTAAATCAGGCGTTGGTAAATGCCATGCTTCTTTCATAAATTCAACAATTGTTTCAGCATTAGTATCAAGTGCTAATCGAATAAATTGTGATGGACGAGTTGTTTTATCAGGTTCATTTTCATCAAATTTCATAAAACCATATTGTGTAGTAATACTATCTTCACTAAAAATTAAAAAAAAAGAAGGAATATTGTTTATTCTTTGCTCTATTTTAAATAAAATTAATCACTTACGGATCATCATCGGATTGACGAATATGTAATCGTTCAACTGTCTAATTTTAAATAATTATTTATAAATTATACTCATATATATATATACTTACCTTTCTAACATGATGTATTTGTTCTCCAATAAAGCGAGACATCGCTTTTAAAATATAAGTTTAATTAGACGTAATTTTTCTTGCTAATATATATATATAGATACTCTTTAGTATGATTTATCATGATCCATACCTACATTAAAATAATCGATATTTATCGTTCTGTTTTGTATAGAGAAAAGAAAAACTTCCTACACCTTCACATGCATATACCAATGGATAATTACGTCAATCGGCCAACGTTCTTAAAGCGATATGTATTTACTTCACCTTGTATCTATTGATGCATTTTTTTCTTTGTTAAAAATAGGCTCTCAATAATTCGAAATAATATATTATATAATTATAGATAAATGCTTTCGTTGTTCTATCATAATAATAATAAATATTCATTATAATTTACTCATGAAAGAATATTCCTATTGGTTACATTATTATCAGATTAAATGTTTACTAAAACGATAAATTACTGTCAATCCTTAAATGTTCTAAACCAATTAACTTAAGTACAGATCTACTCAACAAACATTGAGACGTAGCATATAAAAAAATACTTTATGACATGTCATCTTTCATATACCAACTAAACCCCTGATCAAAAACAAATTATATTTTTCTTATTTGAAATCATATTATTGAACACAGAATTATCTAGACGTCTTATATCGTTTTGATTGTATGTATTATCAACAAACAAGTTGAAATTTTGACATAATGTATACTTACTTTAAAGTAAAGATAAGATTATATAGATCGATATAGGAGTCACTCAAGCGAGCAATATGGACGATGTACACATTCGTAAATGTTAAAAACATTTGGTTTTCGTCATTTTATATCTCCCTTTCAGATACGTATATAATTGATAGAGAGTTTTTATGAATTTTAAAACTAGATAGTCTAGGAGACATGTTTCAATAATTCTCGCAAAAATTAATATAGACCAGAATACTCTTTCGTAAATAATTTGTTCTATTTATGTATATACTTTCAATCGAATATCCCATCGATTAAATAAAATCTTGTTATAAAATTCTATAACAAAAAATTTGTTTATTATTAGGATACACAAAAAATAGATATAATTAAACTTTTTATATTGACAAAAGAAAAGGCGGATCAAAAGAAAACAAACAATCATATACAAATAATATGAAACAACGAATGCACTAATAAATAAATAATATATACATATATATATATATGTATATATATATCTAAAGAGAGTGTGTGTGTATGAGATAAACAGACTAAAAACGTTGTTGATAAATCTGTTGTTGTTGTTGTTGTTGTTGTTGCTGCTGCTGCTGCTGTTGTTGATTTGCATTTCTCTGAAAAACAATATAATACGAACTTTAAATAGATAAAGATCTGTATTAGTTTACTTGATATTCATAATTAGATGGATCACCATTTGCATAATTACCAGCTGTACGTAATTTCTTTTCAGGTGGTTGTCCGGATGCATGTTGTTGTTGCATTAATTTAATCTAAATAAAATATAAACATATATCATCTCGTATTTATTTATCTTCATTTTATACTTGTTGTGCTTGTTGAACGGTATTATTATGTTGTTGTGTAGGTTGTTGTTTAATATGTACATTTGTTGGTTGTTGACTATGTGTGACATGAGATGATTGTTGTTGAGTTAAAGCAACTGATGCAGCTTCAGTTTTAACTACAACTGTTGGTTCAGTTTTTACTACATGTGCATTGGCAGTAGCATCAGTATTATCATCATCAGTAATATATTCACGTTTTGGATAAGGAATTGGAACAGAATCAAATACACTAAATAGTCAAAAAGTAAATACAAGAAAAATTTTCATTCAAATATTTACTCATCAGTTGGTCGAGGATCTTCTTTAAAATATGCATCATTCATTGCATCTAAAGCTAATGCAAAGGAAAAATATTATCAAAAACGTTAGCACAAATGAATTCTATTACCACTTAATCGTTTAACTGGATTCATTGTAAGTAAACGTGTAAGTAATTGAAATGCTCGACTATCAGATCGAACACTGTGTCTATCCATATATTTACTTAAACTACTACTAGCATAGCTAAAATAAAGAAGAAAAAATAAAGTCATAAAATCGAAATAAACTTTTATTTTATTTATAATACTGACTTGCTTTTTTTAAATTCTTTCATTAAACGTGAATATTCAGGCATTTGTTTTATATCTTCCCATTCTTTATCTATTGTAAAAAAAATTAAATAAATAAATAAACAATAGGAAATTATTTACCAGATGGGTAACTCATTACAACAAAAATTCGATCTAATTGATCATGATGATAAGGTGTACTAGTTTTTATATCTTCTTGTTTACAATGAAAGATCGGTTCATATGTTAATAATTCAGCAAAAATACATCTAAGAAAACGAAAATTAAAATTATATGAAAATAAAATAATGATAAACTTACCCTATTGCCCAGATATCAATTGCTTTTGTATAATGTCGAGCACCGAGTAATAATTCAGGTGCACGATACCAAAATGTAACAACAACGGGATCTAAAATTATTGATATAT